GGTAATCTAATTACCGTTTTTGCGATAGTAATCCCTTACTTTACTCGTTACTTGAAAAAAGTAATCGGATTACGCGTTACTGCCCATCTCTGCTGGTGACCTTTAAGATTTGCAGTTAATCTCAGCACTGCCTGACAGACAGAATCCAGCTTGTGTAATCAGTGTGACGATGCGTGCACGCAAATGACGTTGCCATTTGTTTCTTAATATCCCGATTTACATGTCAGGGACAGTAAACCTCCAGTTTCAGAATTTTTGTACAACCATAATTACAAAATGTGTAAAATGTGAAAATCAACAGAATGCAGCGATGTGCAAATCTAAAACATATCAAGACGCATCAATTTGTTGGTGCCATACAAATAAAACGGGAATGAATTGAATCCTGCTGCTGTTGCAGTATCTGAAGTATGCATCAACTTGCTGGAATATTCAAGGCCTCCCCTGAAGGATGGCAGCACACGTTGCTCTAAAACCTGTACATAGCTTTTAGCACTGATGTTGCTTTTCCAGATGTTCAGGTTGACTGTTTCATGCGCACCTTTGACTTTGAACTGAGTGCTGATGAAAAGTCAGAGGGTCCCTCCCCTCTTTGGTGCAGAGGACGTGTCGTCCATGTTTTCTAAAAAGAATTTCAAATTTCAATTGACCTGACCACAGAACAGTTTTTCACTTTACCACAGTCTATTTTGTCTCGCCCAGCAAAGGTGGCGAGGTTCATGCATCATCTTCACACATGGCTTCATCTCCCATGACAGAATCAGGTTCAGATTCTCTCATTTTTTTAAAATTATCTTTTGTACTGTAGACAGATGAGGTGTTCAATGTTTTCACAGTTTTAAGTGTTCGGCAATTTGTAGACACACATTGTTGCAGATTGGTGAAACGCTGCCTCTCTAAGATGCTATCAGCCTAATGAGTTGGAAAATGAAAGGTTATTATTTCTTGAACAAGGTCAAAACACCGACTTCATGTATAAACTGTTATAGTTACTGTATCTCCGTGTGTCCTGCAGAAGAATAAAGGGTAGAGTTTGCTATTATGGAATTGCTCATCAGACAGAACCGTTGGTTTGGTTTGGATGAAAGATTAAGAGTTAGAAAATACTGCTTGATTCTACTATTTGAAAAATATTTTTATGTGTCTGTATATTTTTGTTGTTTTCTGCTGCTATAACTACGCATCATGCCCATCTAACATAATTTCATATCCTCCGCTGTTAATGATCGAGCTGAAATGTCACATCGCACCATCAGCAGCGCCGTAATGACCGCATGATGGACTGTCAACATTGACTTGTTTCCTCTTGTATGACCCAAACTGCTGTAAAGTCAAAGACAGACGGGCCATCAGAGCGTCGTAAACAGAAGAAACATCTGTTTGATTCGAGGGGGAATCACTTTGCATCCCTTAATTAGCCATGCAGAGTAGTGAAGGTCAGCGCAATCATGGGTAATGGGGGGGTGTTAAGGGGGGGCTGCACCATTGCTAATGTGATTGCCGGCCGAGTTGTAAAAGGCTCATGCTCGTAACTCTTATTTAGATGGCTGAAAATGGTGATGGTGGAGATAACCGCAAGCACAACAAGTTTTGTGTGTGTGTGTGTGACTGGGATGGGCTAAGGGCTGGTTAGAGGGAGGTGGAAAGACACTCGGCATCAATGAAGTCAAAGGTGGATTGAATCTAATATAAGGAGGATGTGAGCGGCGGATCAATAACCGAGAGAGCGGCAGGATAACAGACAGAATCAGAGAACAGCTGTGGTGGGCTTGGAAGAGCAACAGTCAGATATCCAGCATGCGTGCTCTGGTGGTTTTGCCTCTGCTCTTGTGCGCAGTGGTGTGTGTGGATCAGGTGAGAGCGCAAGTGACGGCAATGAAGCTGTGCGGTAAGCAGTTAATCAACGCCATCTCCTACACCTGTGGAGCGTCCCGCTGGAGGAGGTTCTTCAGCGAGCCAGACGTGGATGGTGAGAAAACTCTGCTTTTAATCATTTCGCACAACAGCAGGGACGCGCTGTTAGTAGCTGCGTTTCTTTCTATAGTTTCATTTGCTACAAGTTTCAGACTTTCTTCAAGAAAGAACGATGCAGAAAAAGTCAGTAACAAACTGTGTATTTACCCTTTAATTTATATTATTTAAATTGCAGTGAGGGTGTAACCGCGTTCAAGAAAAAAATAGAAATATCATTTATATCACTTTTTTTTTTAATGGCATGTTTTCGAGTTACCACCTCAGTGCAGTTTGCCCACACAGTACTTCTTCTGTATCTGCTTCTGAGGCTTAAATGAAACCCAACACAAGCTAAAGTTTGTGCTTTCTAACCAGGCTGCCAGTTTTTGCTACACCTCATGTGTTATGTTATTAATTCACCGGCTGACGCGCAGGGCTTCTCCAAACAGGTGTTTCCCAGCACAGCGACGCACAGTCTGCCAGAGGAGTCAGCAGCTCAATGATTAAATGCTGTAGCTGGCGGCTCCCCGGGCGTCTTCTCTAATACACCACACAAATAAACCCAGTTAGCGTGTCAGCCGTGCTGATCGGAAAGCGTAAAGTGACACTGAAGAAGACAAATAAGACCGAGCTCATCCGTGCAGTCATTTAGCGCTTCCTTATTTAAAGGGAACATGGACGAATTACACAGGATGCGTCTGAAAGCAGTGCTTCATCAGTGCACTTGCTGAGAAACACTGTCGGCTAAAATGAACTGCTATAGAAAGCATTTACTGGAAGTCATGTTTAAAGTAAGGTGAACAGAGTTTCCCGCACAGTTACATTCAGATTGTAAGGGTAAAGTTACACTATTAATGCGTTTGCAGAGGACCAAGTTAAAGGCTTAGATTCTAAAACCTCCACTCAGTGTTCATTGATGTGTTTTGTTCTGCCTACAGGGGAGCAGAGCAGCTTGGAGAAGTTCAGCAGTTTGGCCTCAGAGATGACCAAACGGGATAATAACATCTTCCTGGCCAACATGTGCTGTCAGGTGGGCTGCAGGAAGACCGACCTCGCCCACTTCTGCTGAGGACAATCCTCTCACTTTTGTTGTTGTTAAAGTGACTATAATGACTGTGTACCTTGCTAAGAACCAAATCTGACTCACGTGGCGAACTGTTATGATCTCTGTGCAACTGTTAAACTTTGTGGAAGTGAATCTGGATGAGCATCTCTGAACATGTTCCTGAACCCGAGCTGTACATGTGCGACCATAAATAAATGTTTTAAAATCAGTTGTCTTTCTTGCAACCTTCACCTGTATTTGGTCTTTTTTTTTGCTGCTTTTGTCAAATAAATATTCTATTATAACACCGGGATTCAATTCTGCAAAGGTTTGTTTGTTTGTTTTTTACTCCAAATACTGGACAACGTGTGAACGTATCAAACTGGATCACTAAGACCCCCCCACGCAAAAGTAAGCAAGTCTGTACACAAGTACATGAATAAGTAACTAAACCAGCTGGCAGAGCAGGTGTGCACAAACGCCCACACACCACTTACACATGACCCTTAGGCAACAACCCAGCCCCGCCTACAAGGGGCGGTACTTAGAGCAGATTTCACCTCTCACGTAAGCACGCAACAAGAAAATCAACTACACTCGTAACCAGCTACAAATCCACCAACTCCTCTATGCTCTTATTCCAAATCCAGCTTCAGTCAATTAGCATTTTATGAAGTAAAGGAAAGCGCAATAGCATCAATAACCTGTGGTTTATTTTCCCTGGGTGAATTTTATTAATTCAAGTTGATTCCACTATATCATTTTCTATTATTTTCTATGAAACAATAGCATCTTTGGCCTGGCTAGCTCCTGTCAGGCTTTGGGCTCAAAATGACCATAGAATCCATATTTACAGTGTTAGCTGTCCTAGCGTACGTGGCACACAAACTAGCTTAGACTGACGGGAAGAATGAAACTGATTTTACACATGGAAATCATTAAAGCTTTAAAATTCAGCTAATTTAATGAGATGGTGGCAGAGCAGACAGGATTAAGGGAACATCAAAGCTACTGCGGTTCATCCTCAGAGGTGTATGTGTTTGGACCAAATTGGATGGGAATCCATCCCATAGATGTCAGGATTCCCCCGACAGGAAAATTCAGAAGATTGTAATCCTGCTGCCATCATGTGCAAATCACACTAACCAGCCACTTGTACAAATGCAAACATAATCAAATTATAGCCTTCAGTTCTAGCCATGACCAGCAGTTTACCACTGGATACAGGTTTACATACCTTGGTTTTAACCACTTGTTACAATGAAGGAACACAGAAGAGCATCTGTGAACCATGATGTAGTAGCAGAAGAACACAGTAGGTGCCAGATGTTTAGTGCCACAATGTCACAAAGCTCAAATCATCTCAAACTGATGTCTTGAACATGTCGTAACCTCACTGTACTCAAATGGGCTGCAGAGCCTCCAGATCTCAAGCCAGCACACTTTGGTTTGGTGGACCAGGAGATTTACATCGTGGACGTGCAGCCGACAAATATGACCATGTGATGCTATCACGTCAACACAGATCCAAATCTGAGGAATATTTTCAACAACCTGTTGAAGCTGTGCAGTGAAGAATGGCAGCAGTTCTAAGGGCAAAATTAATTAAACAAAATCCGTCCCATATTTTTTGGGGGATATTTCAGCCAAGGTCAAAAGTTTAGACTAACATCGCTAAAGCAACCTGCTGAATGGGAACAAATAAAACCTCACAATATTACTTCATAGAAGCAAAACAGCAAACACAAACATCCAGTTATAACTTTTATTGGTTTTGGAAAGAAGCAAACTAAATTTCTCAGATCATCTTAGCGTTGTTATGTACTGTACAAACAGCTTTCACATGTGTTTGAGGTTAATGGTAAAGAACCAAAAAGCATTCTTGCTTATAGCACACAAACACACTCGTTGCTCTCGTCTCAACATTAACACAAGGTAACTGACACTCAGCACAACACGTCATTTCAGCACTATTGTCACAAAGCCCCACCGTTTGACCGCATGCTTTGCATCCAATAATACTGCAGGATGAATTCGCCATGAAGATGAAGCTCTTGTGTTTTGATGCACTGAAAATTTTAAACGCTGTTTCCAGAAATACAGTGAAAAAGGTTTGTGATCAAACAGACGTGTAACCATAAGTGTAGGAGTAATTCTACACTGATGCACCGTGGGTGGCATGTGTGGTGGGTTTCTGTAGATAATGCTGTAGTGACTGTTGCACTGTTTAGCTTAAAGAAGGTAGCAGCATTGTCTCGGGCACGTGGTCTTCCATTTAGCTCGATGAAAGACTGACATGACTGAAAAAATGCGTCACCAAACAAAAGTATTATCAAGAACTAAACGGCACCAATCATCCATCGTTCCTCACACCAACAAAATGCAACTTTGCCGTTCTCTCAGCCTGGGTCTGCACAAGATCAAAGTACAAATGAACAGACTCATTTGAACTGCAGGGCCCAAAAACTATCCAATCAGATGTACTGCATCGCTGAATTGGTGTACTGACGTCAGGATACCGTCCTAAATCAGCTCGAAATGCTTGAGAGCTCTGAGAGGACCGTGATTGGTTACATTTAGTTGATTGCCAACACAGAGTACAGTACAGAGGTTTTTCAATTACACTTCACGCACACTTTTTGTTCTTCACGTTGAGTGTCGGAGCATTCAGGAAGTTCAGCATCATCAGCACAGTGTTTTTCACATTAAACAACACTTTTTAAAAATATTCAGCTTATTCTCCTTAACACGGGACTGACTATCTGGGGTACACACACATAAAATACGAAAAAACAAAACGTAAAACAAAAAAAGAAAAAGAAAGCATTTTGGTCGACTTAACCTCGCTCCACAACCTCATTTAAATCATGTCATCTCACAGAGACCGTTACAATTATGCAAAATAAAGCCATGGATTCAAGCACTGGCTGGATGACTGGGATTTGCTCACGATATGAGGGTATGATATGAGGGAGTTTAGGTACCAGTGAGGTAAATGGAAACAGGAAGGAAGGTTTTCTTGTGATCTGCCGTCAAACTGAAGGTAGAGGAAAGAACTGAGAACACTAGATGATCAGGGTTTCCTTATTGTTTTATTACAGCTAAGTTTGAAGTAAGGAAATGAGCTGGTCCCAGTAAACAGTTCCTGTTCCAATACTAGTACCATGGTCACTAAACTTCATCTCTGCAGCCGTTTTTATGGTTTTTGTCTTCCTTGAAGGATGAGTTTGACATTTTGGGGGGGAAAAACCAACCTTGACCAGGAGCCATATTGGTTAGCTTAGCAGAAAAACTGAAACGGGAGGGAAACGGCTAAGCTAGCGTTGCTAAAATATAAGAGGCTAAAACATCTACAGTTTGATGCTTGCTTCTCTTGAGAGTGCGCACTGCAGCACAGCAATGTGATTTACTGGCATGCTAATGGGATGAGTGCACGTTCACTGCAGTATCCCTGGTGATTTAGCATATTAGCATGCTAAAATTAGCTCACCAGAACAAGCATAAATAAGGCTAGGGGAACATTTATTTAATAAACCAAAGTCATGAACTAATGAAAAGTCTGACCTGGTGATGGCGCAAGAGAAAATGACAGGGTGTTACTAAAATGCTGCCTTTTATCCTGACAGAGACATCAACGTCTAGCGTGGATGAACGCCATTAGCATTTTCGGACCCATGCAGTACTCTCAAGCTAAATAAACTTGTTAATGACGAATACAACAGGGTGTTTTTACACCCTTGTATTAAAGAAGAAACATGACACTGTGTATTAATCAGCTTTCTAGGTGCTGACAGACACAGACTGGCAAGCCTTTCCCGGCCTTTTTAGCATGCTAGCAGTTTCCTGGCAGATGTCACACGCATCATCCAAAAATGTCAAACTTATTCCTCAAAGCGTGAATCTTGGCCATGTAATAGCTAACTCTACATTAACACTGCTTTCACAAAGCATTACACAGAATCCAGAAAGATATTTATCTTTTGTCTTTAAATTACCCCTCCCCCACCCATATATAGGTCAATTCTTCTGTTGCACTTGAGTTAAAAAATTATATCTGAAATAAATTCAAAAAATTAGACCTTATACTGTACACAGGTTACCCAACTACACAGATAACAAAAAATGAGAAGGAATTTAAATATTTATACCTTTAAGGGTTCGAGTCGTGTGATACCATTCAAACTCTATTCATATACAGAATCACGTTTTATACAACAAGTCATTGTCATCAATAAATAAAAATAGAATGCTGTCATGTACTCTGCAGTCTAACACTGCTGTCCTGTGAACAACAGGAAGGCTATCTGACGATACGAGGAAAACACCAAACGCCCTTTAAGATATACATTTTCGACTTAAATGACACTTTGTACACTTCTTTTGTTCTGACACGAAAACATAGTTCCTTATTTTACCAGTGAAACTGACTAGTCATTGCAGCTGCCTAACATCCTTACAACCTCCCTGCATGCGAGTGTATATAACAGAGAAATAGAATAGTGGCTTGACTGGCTAACTGGTGTCTTTAGCAGGATGTGTCATGTAATACCAGCAGGCGATGCTTGGAAATCTAGTTTCATACAGGTCGTACACAAGCACCAAGAAGAAGGACCCACTTTTACCTGTGACAGCTGATGGTGTGTCATGTGAAGCAGCTACATGGATCAGTGCAAAACAGTGAGTACACCTCTCGTATTCTTATCCCAGAGGTTGAGGACCGGGCTGTTTACTAACTTCATCCCATCCAACTCTGGATGTGTTCAGATTTGATGCACGTCTGACCACAACGAGGATTTTTTTTTTTTAAATGGCCCAAATTTTCACATTAACAAGAATCAAAAATCTGTTCCTTCCTTGTTTGGTCAGGCAGCTGCAGTGAAAAACTTTAAAAACACCACCACGCGTTGACCAGAGGAGGACGGAGACAGAGGCACAGACTACAGAGGAGGAAAGAACCCATTTGTGTCTAAGTGCAGCAATACAGATGTTATGAAATGAATACAAATACAATAATTACATGACCTATAACAGTTCCACAATGTTATATGCAAGTTATACAATACTGCTGGGCGGGCTGCAGACCTGTTGTGTGGGTTCAGAAAAGGATCACAGAGTCTGTCTGGTGTCCGTCTGTCCTCTGTCCTCGGCGTCGACCTCAGTCCACTGCGTTCACTTTGTTCAGCGATGGGTCAGTTATCAGCCAGGTATTTTCCTGAAAGACGTCAATTAGAAACTAAGTGCTTATCTGTATAAATGAGATGTGACATTTCATTAGTTTTATGTTTTATTAAGTAGCTGCAATGAAAGGATTCAAACTTATTCTACTCAGGTAAGCTTTACCAAGTTACTAAAATAATCCTAAAACTGACTTTTATTACCGTGTGGATTCATCTAAGTCTTTTCAAGTCCTACTATATGCACATTATCTTAACCTAAACATACATAAAGGAAAATGTCTTTTGTTAACATTCAGGAATTGGCTGGCTAAGCCTTCGTGTAGCAGTAATGAATATTTTATTTTGAAAACCCCATCTGACTGACCTGCAGCAAACCTCTTCTTGATGAGCGAGAAGCGGTACCCTGGCCCAGCCAGCTCGATGCCACAGCCTGACAGGGTGCTGCCTTCGCTGGTAAACTGCACCGCCAGTGGAGCCGGTTTACTCGGACCTTCTGTTAGCTGAAAGCGTGCTAACAACGAGCCCACACCTGAGGGAGGAGAGTGAGAGGATGAGACCAAGCCCCAAAATGTTTAATATTTAGAAACCACAAAAGCAAATATGTAACAACATGAAAAATGGGCAACATCTCTACAACTGCAGATCTCATCTTAAAGAGAATTCATAATCTAGTTTCGTGTCTTCATCCTGGAGGTCAGGTCACTGATGGGTGTCCTTGCCCTGTAAATGACAGTGTGGGTCTAATGATGGCAGGTTGCGATCTGGAGCACAAATCAAACCAAACTTGGTCAGAAGAAACTGTAAATACTCCACAGCTGCTACCGTGGGCACTCGTTTACTTTATCCTATTAAAAAATAAAAGCTCATTGTAAACATCAGCTTTGATGAAGTAACTGTACCACTGCTGTCCAACAGGGGGCAGTGTTTACTGTGGGCATGAGACTTCCTCTCCATCTTGTCGTCCTCATCTGCAGTTGTTCCATTTTCAGCATTTGTACACCAGCCACACACATGCACCACGTGTCCTCCCAACATTTATGTTATTTAAAGAAACAGGTTAAATCATCATTCAAAAGAAATACCTCCATTTTCAGATTTGTGGGAGATATCGGGGATCTTCCACAGGATTCGTTGCTGGTCTGCATTCCTACCAGGATTAGGAATAAGAGAAAACCATTAAAGGATACAACATAAACAGGTGAACAGGTCATTGAAGGTTAACCTCAAAACCTGACAGCACGGCACTCCCAGATATGGCACAGGATTTTATCTCTTGTCTAAATAACATTTGGAGCAATAAATGCATCAAACTGCCTCCTTTACCCCCTTAATCTGTTCAGCCGTGTAGCTTAATACTGTGTAACAACAAGTCTAGAAAGACCGTACCATGCAGCAGGAGGTAGGACAGCCTGTAGCTTTGAAACGCCTCCATCAACGGGGACGAGGAACTGAACGTTGTTGAGGGCCATCGGCGTCGACATGGCCTCCCCGTTGTATTTGTAGTCTATCCTCAAGTCAGTGCTGGTGGGCTCACACCTCCAGCTCACTGCCAGGTTCAGAGGAGTCGACTGGAGGCCCTGTGTTGACACCTGGCAAACACGTGGTTTGATAAAAGCCTGTTCACACTGAAACACCCTAAACAGCTGAACATGCTTCAACTGAAGGAGTTCAGTGTTTGGGATTTAAGCTACTCTCAAAATCCCAAATCCAAGGTTACCTGATACTTGAGCATGTCCACGTTGTAGTACGTCGCTTGTGGTTTCTGCTCTGCCACCTTCTTTAAATGCGATATCAGGTTTGGCATATTTACCCAGAAGTCCTTGCTGTCAGCCTTGGCTTGCGTGGTGGTGTCGCTGGTGGAGGAATCGCAGTAAAGAGCCCGATCAGAATTCAGACGTTTCACAGGACTGCGGTGATTTTCTATTGAAGTGACTAAACACAGCCGTTAGACTTCAGCGGTGTGCTGGTACGAAACGACTGTTCAACCAGAAAAAACAAGTTTTTTGGGAGGAAAATGTGACTTTTCCTCAGAGTCAGTGTGACCCAACGATGATCCAGATGTGGTTGGTGGTCGTTAGATCACACAGACTTTACAGGTGCTGAGAATAAAGTAAAAACTATTTTTAAGTAGCTTTTCTAAAAACAAGAAACACGCAGGAGGCTGGAAAACATCAACATTTGACAGCTGTAATAAACAAATGAATCATAATTAAAAACAATGTTTATTCTACTGTGAGGTCACGTGACTTCATGCTATAACGATGTGTGATATTTTGCATAATTTAATTTTAATTTTAAAGATCACATCAGGCGGTTTATCAGGCGTTTCACAACAAATGCAACACAGTTATCTGCCTGCACACTCAGACGACCTCATGATGACTCCACACTCACTCAGCGCTCATTTTGGAAATAAGCTCACAAAATTTACTCATCTGAAGTGGTCAAAAGACCCCGAATAAACCACAGGGGGCTGTAGATGTTTGATGAGTCAGTTCACTAGCACATGTCAGCGCTGCAAACATAGAAACATTCACGCCATCACCTCGACCTCCCCGAAACCTCTTTACTCCTTGTTGTTGGTCACATGTTGCTCTCCTGATGTTTTACAGTCTGTGTGACATCAAACTTGCTGTGTCACCATAGATAATAAGGTGACTTGCATAACAAAAGTCATTAAAATTTAATGTCAAGTGTGGCATGCTTATTAAAAATAAGTATCGCACATGCTCTGTAAGTGAAATTAAAATGATGCATAATTTGCAACAGGTACATCTGATTTGGTTTTAATCACGTTTGGTTACACGGGACCACATATAACATGTTAGGTATTACTGGGTGACGCTAAAGTTAGACAATAATGTATTTAGATTTAGTTATGTATTCCCAGAAAGGTTGGCTCGATCTTTTCACATCTTCCAGCAAAAGCTGAGTTTTTATTTTTTTAACTGACATGTTGAGTTTACGGTGGTGTCATTACCAGCAGAGGAGCTGGGGGTTAGGCAGCACATGCTCCAGTCGACTGTAGTTGGTTATGCTGAAGGTTAGCACGGCGGGGGACGGGTTATTGGCAAAGTGCCGCGTGATTCCCGCCGGAAACGACAAAACCATCTCACCTATGATCTTCACAACACACCTGAGAAAGAGAAGCGAGAGGAACACTGCATGAAAGACTGCAGAGAGACACACAAATGCACAAATCACACATGACTTCATTTCCTTTTGATAATAAAACTAAACACACAGTCTTAATGCGTTTCTGCTATTGACTGAATCACTACATTAAAAGCTCTGCCAATCACAGCTCACACACTATTACAGCAGTAAAGCCCCGATCAGAAGCAAAATCAATAACACATCAGTTCATCTTAATCCACAACTCAGAGCAACAAAAGCAAACTGTGCCTGTTTACATGACTCTGCAGGAGGAAATTCAAGTACAAAACATACAAAACTGGATTCATTGTAACAAAATCCACCAACACTGTTCTTATGTGTTTATAGTCTATAGTTCAACCAAGTGTTTGTTAGTGGACCTGCATACTTCCTCACATATTCACTATAAACACTGTGTGACAGGATTGTGGATGTTTGACCATATTAACTACAAACACATAATGCTGTAAACACGTGTGTGTCCAGAGCTCATCAGATGCTTCATAAATCAAACTGTCATTTCTGACAAACACAAAAGCATCAAACAAACATTACAGCCGCTTTAGATGGTAAACTGGGACAAACTTAATAAACCCCGTCGACCATTATCCTTTAAATATTGTGGTAAAACGTAGTCAAACTTTTTTTACTCATCATCCACAGAAAAAATAAATAAATACTCAGGGTTTTCTACTGTGACAGGTAAAGGAGACCTACTTGTTGGGATCGGCTCCTTTAAAGAAGGTGTTGACTGTTTCCGTGAACGCAGCCGCCACAGGAAGCGTGTCCTGAGCTCCCATGGTGAGAGGACTGGGCCCTCGAGAGCAGCCTACGAGTAACCAACCCACACGTACACATTTGTAATTAAAATAAATGCTGTGCTCCACTGTTGCTGTTTGATTTGTTGAGGTTGCTGTCAGAGACAGAATTACATTCAAATTATAACCATTTTCTAATTCTTAAGCCTAAACTTGATATTAATATATCCAAACTTCAGCCCTGAATACAAACACTTCAGCAGAAATCACTACATGAAAAATAGATGATCCAAATCTTAAACTACGCTCTCTGTGTCAAACTGTGTGTGGAGAAAATAAGGAACGAAACATGAACAAATTAAGAGTGATGAAATGAAATGAAACAAATACTGGTGTTAGTAAAGAGGCACGAAAACAGCACATTATATGTACGGATGATACCCATTTCTCTCTGCTCTTTGACTGTGAACTGCTTCCAATGTCTCCCTCAGATTAATGCATTTCTACACAGAGGGTTATACATGTCTGTTTTTAACTGAATAAGCACAGCTGGATGTTTTTAAAGAGACAGAGGCAGACATAGAGCAAGGCAGATGTGCATGCGTACTCCAGACATGCTGACAATTTTTGTATTTTTTGGACAAGATCAAAGATCATCAGAGAGCCCACGATCAAACACCCAGCAGGTAAAATGATGACAGTACAGAGAAAAGTGATTAGTAAAGTAGACAAAGACTGATGAGTCTTTAGGGAATGAATCAGTGCAGACATGATGAAAATGAACATCATCATCAGAAGAAGTTAGAGGGAGATATTGCACCGCATATCTGGCTCTAGGTGAGGGGGCTCAGTCAGGGCGATAGCATGGCCAGGGTTAGGGTAATGAAGGGATGATGATGATGGAGGAGCCAAGAGGGGAAGGAGGAAAGGGGGAGGAGAGAAGAAGGCCAAAGCTTGCACGAATGAGCCTCGTAATAACGTGTGTGCGCGCTACCCTGTTGCAGGGAAAACTTACCTTCGAAGGTTAAATAAAACTTCCCTCTGTCAAACCATACAAGGGATGGCTGGTCATTCTCTGTGAGGGTTCGAGGGTAGAGGGAGGGAGGGTCGGGAAAGGAGGACGAGGAGGAGGGAGGAGGTACAGGGATGAAAGGCGGGGAAGTGGGTGAAGAGGGGTGAGAGGGGCAAGGAGAGAAGGACAGTAGCGTGAGTCTCACATGGCAGGTCTATTACACGTCACAGTGAGGTGAAACGTGGAGGTGGAGGCTGGGGGCGAAAGAGGACAAAGGGTCGAGGAGCATGTGACAAGATGGGTGATGCACAGTGGTCTTTTTTTGTTTGTGTTGGGGGAGCCAACGTTTTCTCCAAAGCAAAGCATTAGAAACAAGCTGACGTTCCAATTCAGTGACCCTAACTTTCATCAACAGATACCCGAGTGTTAAAACTGTGATCAGGTCTCACAACAGGCCTTCAGTTATGAAACACACTGACGCTGGCCGCTATGCATGAGGATGGTCTGCAGAGGGAAGCCATGAGACTGAGATCAGACGATAGCAGGGAGGCGGCGAGACTGTGGTTCCCTGCACGCCACGTTTCAGGTGCAGATGCTTTTACAAAGACACCTGAACCGCCCTCACGGACACCAGGGAAAAAAAGAAGACGACTCAGAAAGTCCCAATTAGTAAGCAACAGAAAAAAAACGAGATAAACAGCTTAAACCAAATTAAACCATATTTCAGCTCATTTTCTGACTTTTTTAATAATATAATAATAACATGGTAATGAACCTGAACACTGGTGGATCCTGTTTCCCCCAAATGCATTTAAAAGAATAAGAAACGTTAAACTGGAGCAGTAGCATTTTTCTAATGATCTGCACTCCAGCTCTAATGTGACTCCAACAGGTCTGACGGATGAAAAATTGTGTACTTTTTTGTCACGCTGACACTGTAAACTTTGCAAATACTCCACAAAAACAGGGGAGGCCTGTTCCTCTCCATGCTATGGCCGTGGGCTCCTGTGGCTAAAGGTCTGGGAGGACTAAGAGTGTCGGGTGATGGAACGATGAGAGCGGCAGACTGCTTCAGAAAAAGAACAAAAGGGCGGGTGTTCAGATGGGGAAGGCGGGGGTCCGGTAATATGTCGGGCTCTATGTTGAAGAGAGCGTGGGCGACAGGTGTGAAAGGTGAGCGGCAGAGGTCAAGCGTGGGAGCAGACCGATGCTTTACAGCCTGGTTGAGAGATTGGTTGAACTCGAGGCCGTGTCGTGCACTCCTGTTGTAGACTGAGGATGGCATGAATACCAAGCAGCTGCTGCCTGTCTAATTCAGCCTAAATCTCACGCCAGGCTTCAAATGACTCTAAGCAGAAGCACTGATCTGACGGTACAAGTGAGCTGGTGAGTTTGAGTGCGCGTGAGAGGGAAAAGACAGACAATGTGGATCTCGAGGTCCGACAAGATAAAGAGCTCCTCAGACATGCTAACAGCACACAAACACTCAAACACACTCTTGTGCTGCAAACTGAGAGCAGAGGTATCTGGGAGCAACCGCACTGCACGCACAATGTGTGTCGCCGAGAGACGAGACAGGAGGTTGCCATGGGAACATGGCGAGACAGTCACTGGTGCACAGTCATAAAACAGAGAGAAAAGTCTTAGAAGCGGGCAGATGGGCCGGGGGGTGGGGGGCACTTTTTTTGGAGTACTATGCAGTAGATTCAGCTTTTTGTGTCACCACAGCTTTCATTTGTTTCCTGGCAGATTTCACTGTGACATCCAAGAGAATGAGCGAGAAAGACAAGGAAGAAATGACAAAGATATGCAGATAAAAAGAGACTGTTATATGCATTCGATGGCTGAGAAATGCGTGGGAAGGTATGAGGAGTAAAACAATGTAGAAGATTGGTGGTTTCACTGAAAAATGATGCCATATTCAAAAGGAAAAGAAATAATGTCTGGTGCGTCCTTACATCTGTGCACGAATCAAAGCAGATGAGTGAAAAAAGGAGGAGTAAGAAAAATGATTTGGTATGCACTGTGCTTCTAAAGCCTGACATGAGGCTACAAAACCTGTTGACCTCCATCTAAAGAAGGCACAAAACACTCACTGATGGCCTTTACCCTTCTTTGTGCACTGCGCTCCGGGTAAAGAGCATCCAAATCCAAAAACTCAAAACAAGCACTCACCAAACCCTTACCTAACCCGCCCCCCGTCCCCATGTGGAGGAGGAGGGGGGGTGCTTTACCCTACCTGCAAACGAATCAAAGTGTCTCTCAAAGGTGGGAAGTTTGTCTACATATACATCATCCTCTGACGAGCCAAAGAGACAAACAGCAAAAAAACAAGCAAAAAGAAATCAAACCATGAAAGACAACGAAAAATGATCAGAACTGTGATGCACATTAAATTCAAATGGGAGAAAAACAAATATATTCAATTATAATAAAAATGCTGATGAAAATACAAAATTTAAAAAAGTGGTGAAACTTTAAAGGAGCCATTTAGAATATTTCATAATAAGCAGTTTCCGAGACTGTTTTCATGCACAAAGAATACAGATTAAATTAAGCGGCTGTAACAGAGACCTCAGTAAAAATGTCATTTATTCAGTCTGTCCCTGCAATTTGTTTAAAAGAGGAAGAAAGCACCCTCCAATCGGGGACTAGATTCTGCTTTTACATAACTGCTGCCTCCAGAATGTGTATTTATTTATTTTTTAGTATTATGACTCAGCTATGTTACAGTCTACTGAGATTTGCCATTATCCACTAAAAGCTGCACTGCGGGCTCCTCTAAAACCGACTCTACAGTTATCAAGGAGTAGAAATTGTTGTTGTGTCACTAATTCATTAAAGGATGGTTTGCACTTTAAAGTTTTCATATTCTCACCTCCTACTCACACCCTGCATGTGTGAGCATGAAAATGAATTCCCCTGTGTTTGCGTGTTAACGTGAATCAGATATCTATCTATATCTCTATATCTATCTATATCTCTATATCTCTATATCTCTATATATATATCTATCTATATCTCTATATCTATATATCTATATCTATATCTATATCTATATCTATATATATATA